CGGCCTTTTCGAACTGCGAGAAATCGACGGCGAGAGGCATGTTCTCTGGTCTGGGCTGCACTTGGTCTCGTGAGGTGGGTGCGCACTGTACATGACGGCGGTAGAACAGCCGAAACCCGGTATGTACGCCGTGTTGTTCCGCGCTAAGACCACGTCAACCCTACCGGACTCAGACTCAGTCGAGCTGGAACCTGATTCTGACTCACAAGACTCAGGGGAATCAGACTCCGGCTCACTACCTGACCTGGTGCTGCTTGACAAAAATCCCTCTTCGTACTGCCAAATGAGAGAGGGTGCGATGGATGCATCCAAAATGCTTGTTGGTAAGCCCGCAACCGTTTCGTTCTAGATCATGGACACCGAGAAGTTATCCCCCAAGCACTTCTGTTCGATTGGCAACAAAGAGTGCCGACTGGCAATATACATTGCCGATGGCATAAAATCACTGGCCGGTGGCCTCAAGCCATGGCCGGTGATGTGTGGGGATGCCTCACAAGGCATTCCCTGCCCCTCCAAGGCAAAACACAAGTATTTGGTGCAAAACCAGACACAACACGATCGAGTCGAGAGGTCCTGAGGCAAGGCGCGCAACCGAGACCTCCAGGAACTCAAGACGAATACAAACAAGGGTAATCACCAAGTGTTCCATTGGTGACGTCCAAGTCTTGAGGATGGTCAAAAATGGGGTGTCTACAGTAGATGGAACATCAACATGTCTCCACCTCCCTCGGCCTTAAGGCCATCATATATAACGGAAACAGAACGACCTTAGGTCCATTTCATATGCCATTGCTTATATTTGTACCATTGCTCAATCGTTTCCAATCACTTGTAATTTGTTTGACGTCTACCACTCATAAGCAAAAATGCATGAATCATAGCACCATTTATCCCAAATTTGCCATTCACAATCATAATGCATAAACCATAGCATAATTTATCTTGAACATGCCAACCACAATCAAGGTACATAATTCATAATCAAAAATACATAAATAAATATGTCGTTACACTATTATTACTCACAGTGGTTTAGTCGAGCGACGGTCGCTTCCCGCAAGTGACCTACACATGGCACATACACAAATGGATAAGCCACACATTTTTTTTTTAAAGCTACACATTCTTTTCTTAACTTCCATTCCTTAATCATTTTTCCGTTTCGTTCAATTCTTATTTTGCTTTAAGTTTTTCAGAGGGATTAAATATACATATTACCAGATTCAGAGGATTAAAAAGGGGCCAGCTCATGGGGTTGACGTGGCTCTTAGCGCGGAACAAGACGGCGTACATACCGACGGTTTCGGCTGTTCTACGCGCCGTCATGTACAGTGCGCACCCACCTCACGAGACCAAGTGCAGCCCAGACCAGGAGAACATGCCTCTCGCCGTCGATTCTCTGCAGTTCGAAAAGGCCGATTCTTCGTCTGCATCGTCGCCTTGTCCGGGTAGGGTGACCACTTTTTGGTTTCCAATGTTGCCCTTAATTATTCTTGTTTCTGTGTTATTGTCTGTGTAGAGTCTGTTTGGGTTCTTCTTGTTTTGCTTTCGTAAATCGCATCGTTTGACAGCCTTTGCTGTGAGCTTTGTCGGGTTCACGTGAAAACTAGTTGACAAAATTGGGGGTGTTTTTTGTCTTTTTGCCCACTGTAAATTTCAGAATTACATTTTTAGACTTGTATGCTCTTGATACGTGTAGTACGAGGAAATCATTTTACCTTGGCCTTTTTTTTTTCCTGTTAATAATTTTGCCCCTAACTATTTAGCTTGTTTGCTTCAATCCATTTTTTTTTTTTTTTTTTCGCGTTAGTTTTCACATTTTTGGTTGTTAGCATGGCTTCAAAATTAGTACCCATGTCAGGTTGATGGTTAATTTTTTGTTCAGATGACAAAATTTAGTTTGAAAATTTGAAGTGACACCATGAATATCACTCAATAAACAATAGGAGAGAAAAATAAATAAATGGTTGCAATAGTAAGAGCTTGTTTAGAAAGTACTAAATAAGTATATACTTTAATTTTTTATAAAATTATATAAAGAAATAAAAAGATAATGTGATTAAAAAAAAAAACAAAGATAAATAAGTAGACTTTTATGGGAGTTGCCAAGCAACGCTTAAGTTAAGCACCATAGGGCTGGTTAATAACGAATTTAGATATAAGTAACTGATTTGAAACAAAAGCTAGCAGTTATCACATTTGTATAGTAATATGTTTACATGACAATTTGTATTGAATAATCATATCACATGTCAATAATTATATGACTAGTATATTGAATTTTTTATTCATGAATTGTTAGCTGACAGTACTTTGATGGTTAATTTTGAGATACTTGGATTAGTTTTTTTTGCTTTTCACTATTTTTATTTGACAATTGACATTTTATTATCTTTGAATTTTAACATTCGTTAAAAAAAATATAAAAAAATACAAAACTGATTTAAAAATAGTAAAATTTTGTTTTAGGTTTGGTACCACAATGATTGGATTTTAAAACTTTATAGTCCTATTTGTTTCACTGGATATAAAATTGAGAATATAATATGATGTGAGATTTAGTCAGGATATATAATGAATAGGATGTAGGTATCAGATAGTATATCCCCCAAGTCATGTTTGTTGACTTGATATATAAGATTGGATATATGTTATGCATGTTTGTTTTATAAAATATATTGTGGGATATAACAAGTAATTTTCAAGATTGCCCTCATAATATTATATTATATTAAATTAAATAATATTATATTATATTAAATTCAAAAATTGTATTAAATTAAATAATATTATTTTAAATTAAATTAAATTAAATTCAATAATATTATATTATATTATATTAAATTCAATAATATTTATATTATATTAAATTCAATAATATTAAATTATATTATGTTAGATAGACAAAAGGGTAAATTAAACTTTTTGCATCATATCTCAACTAAGAGAATATGACATAATGGAGGGCGTGGTATTGTATATCCTCTACTTTTGGGAGATATACAATTCCACCGGATATTATATCCCTTTCAAAAAAAATTATAAACATAGAATATATAGACTCCATCAAATATAATATCTAATCTCAATCTTCATATTTTCAAACAAAAACAGGCCTATATGTTTAATTAAACTAAGCCACATGGTGGTGATTTTAAAACTATAATTTTTATTATTATTATTATTATTGTTTAATTCAGTAGCTTCCAAGTGCTGGCTATCACCGAGGTGGTGGTGAATCTATTTTGTGGACAACGACAAGTTAAAAAGGTTTTAAACTTTTTGGGTGAAACCTCAAAACTCGAGAAAGAGCAACTCCCAAGGACTGAGCATGTTGGTCGTATAGCTAATGGGAAAAAAAAAAATCAGATCTGAAACAACTCAAATTAAGATTTGGGCAAATTACCTACTCTTTTCCTTGAGCTAAATTATAGATTTTTTCCAAAAGTTGTAAAAATTATCTCTTGTCCGATATTTATACTCGCATAATAATATATCCTCTACCGTTAAGTAAACGTTAAGA